AAAAGAATCCTGGAAGTGTTGTGGATTATGAGTTGAGTTGCTAACTTCAAAGTCAGTAGTTCGAATCTACCAGTTGCACCAAGAGAGAAAGATGAGGCTTTCTGATCCTATAAAGATTTACAGCCTCAGAAACCCTATACCAGGTTGCTATGAGTCGGAACTGACTCAGTGGCACACAACCACCACTACCACAGAAGCAGGAGGGGGCGGATTTCACTATCATCAAGAAGAAAGAGCCAAGAAAGGAGCATATCCTTTGGACCCTGAGATCACTGTGCGTTGAAACTCCTCAACCCAGGTCCAGAAAGCTAGAGCCCAGAGCCTTCAGGCTAAGGCTTATGGGGGAATAGTGTGCCTGTGGGCATTTATTGTTGTTGTTGTTGTTAAGTGCCATCGAGTCGGTTCCGACCCATAGCGACCCTGTACAGGGTTTCCAAGGGTGTAAATCTTTACGGGAATAGAAAGCCTGATCTTTCTCCCACGGAGCAGCTGGTAGTTTCAAACCGCTGACCTTAAGGTTCGCAGCCCGATTCGTAACCACTACGCTACCAGAGCTCCTGTGGCATTTATTAGCAGCCCTAAAAGAGCTTTGCAACACTGGCTGACCAGAGAGAGGTTGAGGAGAGACATTCCTGACTGGAAGAACTGTGCCCTGAACATTTCTGACCCTGAATGGACACCTGTTAACTTCCCTAGTAAACCCCATTAACTGTCAGTAAGGGATCTGAGTTCTGTGTAGCCATTGCAGTGACTCATCGAACCCAGCTGTGGGAGGGATGTTTGGTCCACATTAATTTTTGCAGTCCCAGTCTGCCTCAGCTTCACAGAAGAGGAAACTGACGGGGAGAGGTATCGGCCGAGCTCCCCTGCTGCCTCCAACATACAGATGGGTGAAACATAGGAAATGAAAGGATGAGTGCAATGGGTCTGAAGCCTGCAGTGCTTGTAAATCATGTGGGAAAGGTATGCTGATTCCCAGGCCTCACAACCCAGCGTTTATGACTCAGTGCGTCTGCAGTGGTTCCCGGGTGATTCTGATGTAGGTTGAGAGGCATAGCTAAGTTTGGAAATGTTGGGTGGGTCTAGAATGATTCCTGAATGGTGTACATGGTTTGATTACTAACTTAAAGATTGGTGGTCCAAGCTTACCCAGTGACACCACAAAAGATAGGCCTGGAGATCTGCTTTCATAAAGATTGTTGTTGTTGTGTGCTGTCAAGTCAATCCCAAGTCACAGTGACCATATGTGACAGGGCAGAATTGCTCATAGGGTTTTTAGACTGTAATCTTTATGAAAGCTAGCGCTTTTCTCTTTCAGAGCCACTGGGTGTATTTGAACAGCTGTGCACTTAACCATTGTGCCACTAGGGCTCCTTACAACCAAGAAAACCCTATAGAGCATAGTTCCATATTATAACACATGAGGTTGCCATGAGTAGAATTCAATTCTACTGCAAAGGGCTGGTTTGGTCTAGAACAGGGGTGGGGAACCCTTGGCAAAGGGCCATTTGGATATTTATAACATCATTCACGGGCCATACACAATTAATCCACTTAAAAATTAGCCTCCTGTATTTGGCCAAACATTTAATTAACCCACCCTTAATGTGATGGCTAAGGAGCTCTGGTACGTAGTGATTATGAATTGGGCTGCTAATCTCACGGTCAGCAGTTTTAAACTACCAGCTGTTCCGCGGGAGAAAGAGGAGGCTTTCTGCTCCCGTAAAGATTTACAGCCTTGGAAACCCTGTACAGGGTCGCTATGAGTCGAAACAACAACAACAATGCGATGGCTGGAACTGCGGTTGCCTTGACAGGGCCAGACTAAATGATTTCTCGGATCTTATACAGATCAAGGGCTGGACGTTCCCCATGTCTAGTCTAGAGGGTCAGAATCACAACTGTGTCCTGACTTTCAATACAGCATAAGCATTGCAGCTCTGTGTCTCAATTCTGGCTACAGGGATCTGCATCAACTGATACACAGAAGTTTTCTACTCAAACTCTATGCCCCAGGATCCTAGGACTGTGGAATCCTTCTACAGGCTTCAGGATTATAGGAAGGAGGAGTGAAGGACATGGGAGTCAGTGTTTATTGTTTGGGATGACCATTCTCATTGACAAGGCTGTGCTTTTACACTTTCTAGATTCTTCTCTAGTTCTTCAAGATTGTTTAAATGTCACTCATGGGCCAAGCCTCCTCTGACCCTCACCCCCACAATGTATTAATCCTAACTTCAACTTCCAGCTCCCACAACCCTTTGCAAGTAAGTCTTTTAACGTATAGTATTGTACTATATATTTTTTAAATGTGCTGCTTTTCCCTATTCTAATTGATATTGTGTGTCATCCATTTGATTCAGACTTAGATTTGATTCTGATTTAGCAACGTTATAGGACAGAATAGAACTGCCCCACAGGGTTCCAAGGCTGTAATCCTTACAGAGACAATTGCCTTATTGTTCTCCTGTGGAACAGTTAGTGTGCTCACTTCAGAACTTTCTCTTTGCACCGCTGCACCACCAGGGCCCCTAATCTGGTGGTGTGCTGTGCAGTGGAGTTGGTCCTGATTCACAGTGACCCTGTATAGGGCTTCTTAGACTGTAGATTTCTACAGGAGCAGAAAGCCTAATCTTTCTCCTATGGAGTGGCTGGTAGTTTCGAACTACCGACCTTTTGGTTAGCAGCCCAGCTCATAATCCACTATGCTACTAGAGCCCCATGGTTGTTGTTGTTGTTGTTGTGTGCCGTGGAGTCGGTTCTGACTCATAGCGACCCTGCACAGGGTTTCCAAGGCTGTTAATCTTTATGGGAGCAGAAAGCCTCCTCTTTCTCCCGCTGGTAGTTTCGAACTGCTGACCTTGCGGTTCACAGCCCGATTCGTAGAGCTCCCTGGTAGGAAGTATTATTTACAGAATGATGTGCAGCTTGTCACTTGAGCTTCTTTAGTGAAATCTGAAGCACAATCTGCGAATACAGAGCTGAATTGAAGCTGTAACAGTTAACAAGAGAAATATTTTGGAAGTAGGATAGTTAAGGCTTTGTAACTGTTTGTCTGAGGGGGACTAGGAGGGAAAGGGAAAGAATGTAAGGAAAACTCTGAAGTTTCCTGTTTGAGGAAGTATCCACTTATAGTAATTTCATTATATTTTTTAAATTGTTTTAAAATGATCATTTTTCTACTTCTCCCTGTGAGCGCTGCTAACAGGAAGCCAGGTGAGGCTGCTATAAAGTTTTATTTCCATCTCTTTCACTAAGAGACTTCTCAGACTGTTTACTTCCTGCTCTATAGGCTAGTTCTGAGGAAGAATAAGAGCAAATTTGTACCTTATTTTAGGACCACATAATTATAGAGATTTTTTTCAAACCTTTGGAGATAATAGTTCTTAAAGAAATAAATTAGTTTTGAGATCAGATGAAAAGTAAGGGTAACACTTACTAGCAAACTTTCCTATTCAATCCTAGCATCCTAGCAAAGGAGCCCTGGTGGCGTTGTAGCACTGGACTGCTAGCCACAAGGTCAGCAGTTTAAGCCTACCAGGCACTCACTCTGTGGGAAAAAGATGAGGCTTTCAGTTCCCATAAAGGTTTACAGCCTCGGAAACACTATACAGGGTCCCTCTGAGTTTGAACCAACTCCACGGTACCTAACACAACAACAACACGGTGGTAAAGGTTCAAACCAAAGTTTGACCTGAGAAGACTCAGACAAAATCTGCAGCAATCAGGAGATCTTAAGACAAGCAATACCTTACCCCTTCCTTTGCTAAATGGTTTCTACCAAGCTTTTCAGAACTTTTCTGCCAGGTACATCTTTAATTTTATAATGAAAGCCAAAAGTGAAATCAGATTTGTTGTATAGAAATTTAATGTATAGCTCAACTTTTAGTTTAATCTAGAATTTTTGACAATTGAGACGGTCTTATAATGTTGTTGAGTTATTATGAGATGGACATTTTAGAAACTAAAGTTTAGGACCCTCCTGGTCATCTGTTGAACTCCCTGTAACACTTTATTTTCCTGGTAAAGTCACCCTGTCTGCCCCACAGCTACTTACTAGACTTGTTTTCTCTCTGGTCAGTGTGTGGTGGCTAAAACCCAAAGCAGAGGCTGAATGGAAATGAAAACTGACAACGGGGATGTACTCATGAGTGGCAGGGGATCCAACAGAATTTATTTCTAGCTCAAATTATTGCATCTTTCTCCTTTCCACCCTAAGTAAAATCTTTAATTTTAGAATCATCAATATACAGGATTTTAAAAGCATTCTCTAAGCACACCTGGAAGTCCTGGTGTGGTGCTGTGGGGTAAAGCACTGGACCATAAGGTTTGTTTGAGTCACAAGGTCGGTTAGTGATTCAAACTCATCAGCCACTCCTTGGAACCCCTATATGAGGTCACTATGAGTCAGCACTTAACAACAAGAACAAGCACACCTGAGTTCAACAGGGCTCAACAAGTAAAATCGGGGGTGGGGGTGGGGTGGGGTTTCTGCTTTTTATTTTTTTAATTGACTAGATGTGTTTTTAAATGATTGAGAATATATGTTTGGGTCACACAAGGAGACTATGTTCTGCTGCTTTTAAATTTTGAATGAGTTTGTCTTAGTCTGAACATGGCCTGGTAGAGAGTAGACATGAGTGGGCTAAGGAGTCTGCTTCTCAGGTTGGTATTGAGTAGCTAGGAGTGCTGGTGTGGCACTGTGGGTTAATGAGCTGGACTGCAAAGTCGGTTTGAACTATAAGGTAGGCAAAGCTCACCAGCTGCTTCTTGGAAACCCTATACAGGGTTGCTATGGGTCAGAATTGACTCGACGGCACTTCACAACAACAACAACAATGAGTAGCTGAGATTGGGGAGGGGGAATGCTGAAAAACTCAGCCCTAAGAGGTTTGTGGAATCATGTGATTCTTGCTCCTTTGCTTCAGAAAAAAAATAATTTGGCACTACCCATGGGTCTCTGAAGTTTATGTTTGTTACCTGAGGAACCCATAACTTACCATTTCCAAAGTTGTCTATTTCAAAATTAAAGGCTTGAAGTTGGACATTCATTGTTTTCAACTGAAGGTAAGTTGACAGCTTGATGCTCTGTTCACTCACACACTTGAAGGAATGTCCGATCATTGTCTCGAACCACACCATAGCACTGTGCACTCCTTGGTAAATTCGCTCTGAAAATATAAAGGTGGAGTACAGGTGTGTAAGAGTCCCAGAGTATGTCAACAGAGATCTAGCTGCTCCTGGGCTGTACAAGTGCTGTTAAATAATCTTATTTCAAATTTGTCTCTCTGGGCTTCTGCCACTTTCTTCTCTTGAAAAACTACCCCGGTGCTCTGTTTGACAGATAGAGGGGGACGTCTTATGTAAATTGAAATGTGATAGCTTTGAAATGAGAAATTTGGGGATGTTTTCTTCAGCTACCTTAATTCACAGTAGACACAGCTGATGGGAAATATTATCAATGCTTGGGGGCTACACAGAGGTGCTCGCAAAAACGTAAGCAATAAGAGAAGTAAAGATTGCTCTCTGAGACTTATAGTGACAATAACCCTTAATGATTCAGAGCAGAGACATGCAAAGACACCAAAGGAGCATTTACACATCACTTGTTGTTGTTAGGTGCCATTGAGTTGGTACCGACTCATAGTGACCCTATGCACAACAGAATGAAGCATTGGCTGATCCTGGGCCAACCTCACAATTGTTGCCATGCTTGAGTCCATTGATGCTGTCACTTTGCCAATCCATCTTGCTGGAGGTCTTCCTCTTTATCTCTGACCCTCCACCTTACCAAACATGATATCCCTCTCCAGTGACTGGTCCCTCCTGACAATATGTTCGAAGTATGAGAGATGAAGTTTGGCCATCCTGGCCTCCAAGGAGCACTCTGGCTGCACTTCTTCCAACACAGATCTGTTTTATCTTTTGGCAGCCCATGGTACTTTCAGTATTCTCCTCCAGCACCGTAACTCAAATGCATCAATTCTTCTATGGTCTTCCTTATTCACTGTCCAGCTTTCGCGTGCATATGAGGTTATTGAAATACCACGGCACATCACTAGACTGAATGTATTCATATAACCAAAGAAGAACCAAGTCTGTCTCTAAGGGAGATTGTTGTGTCCATCCATGGAAACTTAGAGAAGGGAGAGGCCCATCTCTGCCCATCTGAGTGGACCTGGGGAGGAGGGCTCTGCTCAAGGACTGGTCTGATCTTATGACAGGCAAATGCTTTTCAAGAAGGAGGAGGCTTCAGTGAAGATGGTTTAAACATTTTAATCATGCAATTAACTCCATTTTTCTCTAATTCCTTGCCATCAAGCAGCCTTCTGATTAGAACTTGGCTTCTGAATGGGAGAAAATTGACTGTCTAGAGACCAACTGACGACTGGGTTCCTTGACAGTTAACAATAAGAAGTGGTGGCATTCTGATTGAATATATCCGTTTCATGACCTAAGTTTAACATCAGTCTCCTGAAAGATACAATGCAGATGCAGTTTTCCTAATCAGCTCACAGAATGGAGATGCACACTGTGGGCCTCAGAGAATGCACCAAAACGATGCTCCAGGGAATCCACACCACAAGCTGTCAGTGAGGAGCTTGGAGTCACCCTCCTTCCCTGGCTTTGCGTGTGAGCCTGCCTGTGTCTAAGATAACATTACACATGAGGTGCTGTTTGCTATGGGATGATATTGTTCAAGTACTTTACATGCACTTTCCTTTTTAACTCTCATAATAATCTTTTGAGATAGGTGAAATTGTCCCATTTTACAAATGAAGAAACAGAGAACTGGAAACATGTGCCTGAGATCATATAGCTAGTAATTGGTAAGAAGTTGAAAGCATTCTAATTTTAGAGCTCATTCTTTCAACCATATGATCTTGTGTTTCCTGCCCCCTTAATGTACTCGTGACTGCAACTGTATTTGTACAGGCACATGTCCTACATGATGTACTAAATTATCTGTGTGTTACTTTATCCAAGATGGTCTACTATTACCACCCCACCCTCACTAACATTAGTACGATCATTACTGTCACGATGACTCTCATTTCTTCTACTATCACTATCACCACCACCATTAACACAAGAACCATCATTTGCTGCTACAGCTCCAGTTACTGTTGCTACACTGGAACCTAGAATTGTTTTTTCCCCCTTCTTTCAGTCTCTAAATCAGTTTTTAGTCTGACTTTCTCTTCCCTGCCTTTGAGAGGTTACTACTCTATTACTGGTTATAATTTAGCCCATGCCTCGTGATAATATTGGGGAGCTCGGTGGCTCCATATAATATGCAATGGACTGCAAACCACAAGGCCCATGGTTTGAGCCCACTAGATGCTCCACAGAAGAAAGATGAGGCTTTCTGCTCTTGTGAAGATTTAAAGCCTTGGAAATCCTATGCAGGGTCACTATGAGTTGGAACTGACTGGACGGCACTTAATAGTAACAAAGAACAAGTGATAATATTAGCTAAATTATGATCACATTCACACTATTATACAATATTTATTCCATAGCCTTTACTGGGAGACTGGTCTGAGTGAGTTAAAGTATATGAAAGTGTGTTGTCAACTAGGCCATCTTTAATACATTTAAGTAATCATCATTGACAGCACGCTGTTAAACAATATCAAAACTAGAGAGCTAATATTTTAAACAGATGGTTCTACAGATTTTCATTTCTTTAGTACCTGTGCACTAATGCATAAAATAATAAGGTTAAGCCAGTTAAAAATTAGAACTTCAAAAAGGAGAAAGCAGACCTGAAAACTCTTATTACAATCCCTGGCACAGAGGAGGTGCTCAATAAAGATTTTGTTATCTAAGTCTAGATTTCCCAGTAAAACATTGGAGGTTTCAGAGAAACTCACCTGATTTGAATGGAAGCAGTCTTGCTCAGAAAGTGATCGTAGTACGAGTTCATGTAACCTAACTCTACTCATTGAAGTCAATACCCTACACAGTAGCCAAAGTGGGCCTTTATGAATATATATCTGATGTATCAGTACCTTATGCCAAGCCCTCCAAAGGCATCTAATCACAATTTAGAATACAATCCAAAGTCTTTATCTGCTCCAGCTGCTAACTCTCCCTCAGACCCCATCTTCTGCTTTCCTCACTTTCTAGGGCACCCATTGGTCCTTGCATACACTAGCATCTGTCATTTGTCAATAGCTTCCCTGGTCTAGATATCTCTGTGTCTATTTACGTACTTCCCTCAGGTCTCTGCTCAAGCGCTACCTTGTTGGAGAAGCCTTCCCTGAAGACTCTGTCTAAAATGGTTTTTCATTGCTCTCTGCTCCCACTTCACTTGGTGTGTTCTTATACCACTACTGACATTGCAAACATGTCATTTAAAGTGTTGGTTCACTGTCTCTCAGCCCCTTTGGATTGTATGCTTCATGAGGTCAGAAACTGTTTGGATCAATCTGGATCCCCACTAATATAGAACTTGGTACCTAGTAGGCAGTCGATGCATTTTAGTTAAATAAATGCATGATTACAAAAAACCTGTTGCTGTGAATCAGTGTGTAGAGTAGAATTGTGTTCCAGGTGGTTTTCAATGGCCAATTTTCTTTGGAAATAGATCAGACCTTTATTGAGAGACACTTCTGGATGAACTCAAATTTCTAACCTTTTGGCTAGCAGCCAAGCATGTTTGTACCACCCAGGAACTTCATGATTCCAAGAATATAGGATAAACTGCAAAAACTATAAAAATCTGTCAAAAAGTCACTGATTGCTGATAATGATCTCAGACGTCAGCAGATGAACAAAGTGAAAGACAAAAATGTGGAAAGCTCCCCAAAGAGCTAGTTGCTCTGTCTGTTTCTTAAAAGCAGCATCAAAGGTGAAAGGATCCAAAGAGATGAAAAAATGAAATAACCAGAAATACATTGTCATCACTAATGGCCAAGTCTTTGTCTACATACTAACCCGGATTTGAGACGCTCAGATAGGCTCCCACTTCACTGATATAATATGAGTTTTCATCCTGTAAAAACAACACTCTGTTAACCTGTGAGCTTTATGTATATGCTTCTGGTATACAAACTTGATTTTGGGAGCCTTGGGGTGTTTTGGTACCAGATGGTTGTGTTCTCACCTTTAGCACTGTTCCATGTTTTTATCTTGAGACTGTCCTCTTGGGAAAACAAAACAGATAAAGAAGCTGAAAAAACAGCCCCACAACCTCCAAAAAAAAAACACCGAGGGTATGAAATACTCATGGAAATTGAGTTTGGATATGAAAAGGTAAGTTCAAAAAGGGTCGGTTTTTGTTTTTATGGGGTTATCAGTTTTAAGCCTTCATTAGAAAACTGTCCACACATAGATGCAAAAAATGAAAGACAACTAAAATCAGATTCTGAATTTGAATTACTTTTAGAATTTCAAATTGAGCATAAGGAAATTTAACACTAATAATCTTGACCACATTACAATCCACTGGTAACAGTTGTCATGGGTAAAGTGATGTTCATTACACATTATGAGGAGTCCATAAATACACACTCTTTTAGTAAGGTCACTGATTTTGAGATGCTAGGCTTTAGATCCTATAACTCATTAACATAGCACCTAACATATATTCCAGGAGAAAGATGAGGCTCCCATAAAGATTTACAGCCTTGGAAACCCTATACAAGGTGGCTATGGGTCAGAATTGACTCGACGGCACTTAATTGCAGCAACAACTACATACTAGGATCTTACCTTGTTATCTTACCAGGAGACAACAGTGAGAGAACATGGAGGCTCAAGGACTTGTCCAAGGTCACTTCTCTAATAGGTGGCAGGGGCAATGCAACCTTACGCTGCCAGCCTCCTAAATCTAGCCTTTAACCTCTCTGGGATACCCACTCCATCCCTGGCTTTGCTCTCGTACAGGAGTAAGACCCCACTGCCGTCTTCAGCTGCTCCATCTCCTGAGTCTTCAAAGGCAACGTGAACAGTGTACTTGGATCATCCATTTGTTTTAAGGAGGAGCATCTTGGTGTGATCTAGGTGTTTCTTAGGTTGTTTCCACAGAACATACATTGAGGTTATTATTTGATGCCCTTTTAACAGAAGAGAAATCTGTCTTTCATGAGCCTCATTCAGTGTTCCAACAGATCCTCATTGGAAGACTTTAAATTAAGCAAGGCCCTGACCTGAGCATGGTTGAGTGTCTGGAAGTTGCTCAGGCTGTGTGAGACTGATTTAAGGAACAACAGAAGGGCAGTGATGAGGTGAGCCTGGAATTCTTCCTTTCCCTGCATTTCTGGAAGGGGCTCACAGTTCACATCCTAGTGCTCAGTTCTACCACAAAGAGAGGAGCAAGCCAGATAAACTGGACTTTAGAATACATAGTTTTATTAGTTAAAGAAATAGCTGAAACTTCTGCTGGGTGGGGATGGGGTTTTTTTTTGGAGCTTTGAACAGGTGTCAGCTTTAACCCAACCCCAGGGAAAGTTCATGCCACACACTATGCAGTTTACAGAATCTGATTTCTTCTTTGATGCCCATGGGCATTTTTCTCACTTGGGGTTTGGAGCTATTGTTGTTAAGTACCATGGAGTTTGTTCCAACTCATAGTGACCCTGCACAGGGTTTTCAAGGATGTAAATCTTTACGGGAGCAGAACACCTCATCTTTCTCCTGTAGAACTGTTGGTAGTTTCAAACTGCTGACCTTGAGGTTAGCAGCCCGATTCATAACCACTACACTACCACAGGGTTCAGAGTTGTTGTTGTTGTGAAGTGCCATCGAGTCAGTTTTGACCCATAGTGACCCTGTATAGGGTTTCCAAGGAGCAGTTGGTGAGCTTGAACTGCCAACCTTGCAGTTCAAATGGCTTTGCAGCTGGCGCATTGACCTACAGCGCCACACCAGGACAGGAAGAGACAAATATTTACTGTGCCAGATTCTTAAAGGCAAAGTACAAACCCTTGTATTAACCATCAGCATTGACAGAGGAACAAAGGATACCTAATAGAGTTGCTTACAGATCTTCCGCAGTTAACTCAGGCTGGGGCCCAACACATGGGTGTACTATACATATGTCCATTCAAAGTGACCACTTGTAAAAGTCCCATCTCTCTTCTCAGTCAGTGAGGTGCTAACACTGGTCCTCACTGCTACTATCTACAGGGAGTACCTCCCAATAAGATACTTGTTCCTCAAGGGCCCTACATTTCCTCCATAACAAGCTAAGGGTCTAAGAGAATGTCCACCGTTCCACAGGAGATCTGGAACACACCAGTCAGCTAGCCTGCTCAGGAAGGCACTCTATCAACCACCATAAAGCCCCAGGCTCCAATTTCTGTTAATTAGCTTGTGGGAATTTCATAGCACAAGATGTTCAAGATGTGGATTTTCTCTTCAATACTCATCAGGCCTGTTTTTTGTTTGTTTCAGCCTTGTTGTGCCTAAATCAATACACTTTAGCTCTGGGTATATCAAAAGGAAGCCAAAGAGGCTGTTTCATTAGACTTGCTGATTTCTTGTTTGCCAACTTGGGGAGCTATATTAAATTGAGCTTTATTAAAAGTTGAATTCACTACCTGTCTGATAGTTTGTCATACAGTGGTGGTGGCTACAGTGTTGCTATGATGCTGAAAGCTATGCCACTGGCACTTTAAATATAGGGGGGTGGGGGTGGGGACATCCATGGTGGATAGATTTCAGCTGAGCTTCCACACTAAGATAGACTATGAAGAAAGATCTGGTGATCTACTTCCAAACACCAGCCAGTGACAATCCTAGGGATCACAACAGAATATTGCCCATTTTAGCGCTAGAAGGTAAGCCCCCCAGGTTGTTGTTGTTGCTGTTGTTAAGTGTTATGGAGTTGGTTTCAACTCGTAATGATCCTGTATAGGGTTTCCAAGGAGCATCTGGTGGTTTTGAATTGCTGAATTTGCATAGATTGGGTCTACAATTTGATTACAGATGGACTCTACAACCAACACTCCTGGCAGGAAGAGTCAAGAAATCAAATCTGCTGCACAAAGCCTCTTTTAAGTGCTCAAAAGCTGTAACAATGGATTCAGTTTGAAGGATAAGGTGCATCGGACCCAAGCCATGGTATTTTCAGTGGTATCATATGGTTGTGAAAGTTGAACAATGAATGAGGAAGATCATAGAATTGATGCATTTGAGTTGTGGTGTTAAAGAATATTTAAAGTACCATGGACTGCCAGAAGAACAAACAAATCTGTGTTGGAAGAAGTACAGCCAGAATGCTCCTTAGAAGTCAGGATCACGACTTGTCTCTCATACTTCAGATATATATAATAAGGAGGGACCAGCCCCTGGAGAAAGACATCATGCTTGGTAAAGTGGAGGATTAGCAAAAAAAAAGGAAGCCCCTCAGTGCGATGCACTGACACAGTGGCAGCAGCAATACGCTGAAGTTTAGTAAGAAGTATGAGGTTGGCACAGGACCAGGCAATGTTTCGTTCTGTTGTGCACAGGGTCTCTATGAGTCAGAGCTAACTTGACAGCACCTAATAATAACAACACTTTGTGGTTAGCACTCCAGTGCTTATCCTACAGCATCACACCAGTACTCCTAGATTACCCCTGAAAAAACCCACTGAGTGGGTTTTAATTCCACTGAGTTAATTCCAACTCCCAGCAGCCCTGCAAATCCTTACGGGAGCAGAAAGCTACATCTTTCTCTTGCAGAGTACCTTGTGGGTTTGAACTAAAGACCTTGTGATTAGCAGTCTAGTGCTTACCCTACAGCTCCACTGGGCTCCTTAAAGCCCCTAGGGTAAAAACATCAGCAATGGCTGCAACCATGGACTCAAACATACCAGTAATCATGAAGACAGCTCAGGGTCACACACTATGTTGTTCTGTTTTACATGGGATTACCATGAGTCAGAACTGGTGGTGAGGGTGGAGGGGGCATTCCAGGCAGAAAATCATAAGTAAAAACAGGTGCAAGGGATCCTGATGAGTAGCAAGTAGTTCACTGTGAGGATGTTGATATTTGAATGTTGATTGTGGTTTTCAAGAGCCTAGCATAGAGTCAAGAAGCCACAGATGCCCTGGAAGACTCTGGGAAGATGCTAGGTGATGTGTTGCTATGGACTTCAAGACCTTCACTGCAGATACATTGCCTGGTGCTGGCTGTCCTTTCCCCATGGGTGATTTACTACTTTTATGTTTCAGAGCCTGTAGTCAAGGCCTTAAGTTGCTTTCCGGCATGGTTTATAGAAACATCACTGCCAGAGAAGTGGATGAGAAAGTGACAGCATTGAACTGTCTCTACACAAAGTCACTGAAGAGCACAATATAATTTAAAACAAATTCTCTGTGCAGGAAGGAAATTGATGGGGAGGGATATTCATCTTGAATCTGACAAGCTTGAACAATGTTCAGCATCTTATTTTTTAATCAAATGAAACACTGACATTGAAAGGTTTTCAGTTCTTCAAGAAAATGAAACTGAGGGAAATGAGAAAGGAAATCGACCTCTCTTGGTCTCCACGATGGGCCAGACATCCTGCTCAGCACATCCACGTGCATTAGCTCAGCGTATATTCACAGCAGCCCAGCAAAACAGGTGTTGGCTTGCCCCATTTTATAGAAGAGCAAATTGAAGCACAAGAGAGCTAACAACTCATCCATAGGATGGGTAACTTAAGTCTTGACTGAGCAACTGGGCTAAGCAATAACTTAAGAGGCAAAATTTTCTTTATGACTTTGTCCTTCGTAGTATTTCAACTTGAACAACTACAAATCATTGTACATGATTTGAAACCTATAACTAAAATCTATGTCTTTCATTTTCTTCCCATATTGCCTGCCCCAATGTTGGAGACAACACAGGTGCTCAATAAATTCTTATTGATAAATTGGTTGACTGCAGCTAAATCAGGTTATTGTAAACTGAGCATCTGTTTAGCATTCTACAACTTAGTTCTCGTTTGTCATCTATAGTTCATTATAACCAATACAAGCTTCTCTTTTCCTGTAGAGCGGTGTTTCTGAACTAGAAGTGATATTCCCCTTAGGGAGTATCTGACAATGTGTGGAGACACTTGGGTTGACACAACTAGTATGAATATGCACATATGCTACTGGAATCTAGTGGAAAGAGGCTGGGGATGCTGCTAAACACCCAACAAGGCACAGGACATCCCCCCACAACCAGTTATCTTGCCCCAACTATCAACAGTGCCACTCTTAGAAACATTAAGTGACAGATTGTTGATTCCATTTCTCTCTTGGAAGGATCTAGAAGGCTTTTCTGTTCAAATGCATTCCACTTCCTAGGACAGAAGTTACAGCTGCGGAGTCCACAGGCCAAATGTGGCCTACAACTGTCTTTTGTTTGGCCAGCATGATACTCACATTTTACAAAATCTGTTGCTGGCATTTAAAAAATTATGTGCTTTTATGAACATGCCTTTTCTTGAACGGTCAAGATCTGGGACACTGACCTCTTGTTATCAGCTGAGAGAGATGATGTGTCAAAGATTTAACAGCTGGCATAGTGGGGCCCTGACCACTCAGAATGAACTGCAGTCATAAAATACCGGTTGCTAGCTCCACACCAGCCCCATTACTGCTACCACCAGCTGAAGCTGAGGAGGGGTCACTGCCTCTGGTGGAACAAGTATCCTTCTACTCCCCTTTTGTTTCCTCACTACATTGTCACTTATTTCTCACGCTGACCCTGGTGTTTTTCTTTTGCAAAATGAATGGAAAAAGTGAGATCGGTCTTATCCTCGTGTCTTTATCAAATATGGGAAAGTAAAAATGTAAGGACTGTATATCTGAAGGAAAATGCTTTACCAGTTGGCCTTTCTCATTAAGTGGTTATTCTTGTTAGTCTTCAGTTTGTGGCCCCTGTTTTTGTTTAACTGTGTTCTCTTTTGAGATGTAGAAATTCCAGGCGGTGGGTGGGTGTTGTAACTAGGACTAGCAGGAAAATGGGACAGCCCTACTCTGCCCTGCAACTAAGACCAGCTGCTTGGGGACATTTGTGCTGGAGAATGTAATGAATAAGGTGAATTTGGCTGGTGAGACTCAAAAAGGCAACCACTGCAACATTTGGGTCACGGATTGAAAGTGGTTTACTGGCTCCCACCAGGAAGTGGGTGGGAGGAGTGAAGGATGATCTGCTAGTGTTCTGGCTCTATTAGGACACTCACATCTGCCCACACTCTGCAGGGAGGGATTATCTGGGACCATAAACAACTTGCAGAAAGGTGATGGTTCAATCCTGGGGAGAGTTTGGTCAGGGTTCAGCCTGAAGGCATTGGATAGGCAGGGCTTGGGGGCACCAGGAGACAGATGAAAGCAGCAAAAAGAGAAGTTGACAGGTGTCAAAGAAACTTCTGTTTGCAGTTCTATCTAAGGCCTGGCAACAGAGGTCATGGTGTGCCAATCACAAGCACTGGAGTGTTCTGATGTATTCCTGTGAGCAATTATTCGGAGAGAGTGGGTGGGTAGAATGAGTCCCAATGAGAAGAATGTGTGCTTATGCCTACATTGTTGCTGTTGTTAAGTGCTGTCGAGTCGGTTCCAATTCATAGTGACCCTGTATAGAGTTTCCAAGAAGTGGCTGGTGAGTTCAAATCACCGAGCTTGACATTCAAACTGACCTTATGGTCGAGTACTTATCCTACAGCACCATACTATATCCTTTACCATTTTGCTGAAGTAACGTATTTTACTCCTGACAGTTCTATGGTTTAGTTGTCCTACCTGAATGTTGTTCTGGTGTAAGAGATTATGTCTTTCCCATTGGGTACTGAAAGGAAACTGCTGACTTCTCAAATGCATCTCTACCATATGGTGTGAACTATGCTCCAGGAGAATAAAGTCTTTGTGATCAATTTAATAATAACTAAACATTGCTATCGTAGTCCTGGTGTGGCACTGTGGGCTAATGCGTCAGACTGCAAAGTCCTTTGAATTGCAAGGTTGGCGGTTCAAGCTCACCAGCTGCTCCTTGGAAACCCTACTTATCCTACAGTGCCACAACAGGACTCCTGTTAGGTATGCATTCATTATTTCCATTTTCTGTATGAGGAAACTGAGACCGAAAGTGACCTGAGATGATATAGCATGTAAGCTTATGGCTGAGAGTCCATCCTGGTCTGTCTGGCCTCAGAGTCTGTGTTTGTTCCTCTTTAAGATGCTGTTCCTCTAACTTCAGGAGCCACAGGTAACAAAGAGACTGCTACTGAGTTCTAGCTGTAGGTGTCTTCTCACAGCCTCCTCCCTGGTTCTTGTGTTACCTGTCTGAAGGATATTTTAAGGTAAATCAAGGAACTTCATTTTTCACTTCAGAGTGGGATGGCCACCATTATCTCGCCAAGATGTTTGCCATTTCAGTTCCTGCAATTATAGCTATCAGGTACTGATAACCCACCCTTTTCATGTTCCAGTCATGCCCTCTGCAAAGCTGGTCTCTAATTCCTTTTCCCCATTTTACAAATGACACATTAAAGCACAGACAGGCTAGCTTCTCTGTCCAATGTCAGAGGGAAAATATGTGAAATGTCAAGTTTGCAGCCACGTAAGTCTCTGTCAATGATGTCTGCCTCTTTCCACTTTACTTCACTATCTACTACCTGAAAACCCAGTCACTGAATTTGGCTGGAGTGGTTGGAAAGAACCCATTCTGACATTTCATTTTGGTTTTGAACAGTCCTGCCTCCACTGGGAATTTCTATGGGCCTGTTCCCCTGAGTAACTTCCTCCTTCAGGTGGTTTACAAAGGGTACCAGTGGTGGGGTTCCCCAGAGGCTAAACCTCCCCTAAGAGGCTGAAGGAGGAAGAAGGCAAACATGAAATGTTGAAACTTCCCCCCTCACTAGCTATCTGTATACCTCTCATCCTTATCAGTGAAGATTTCAAAACGCTCTGAGATTCAGTTCCGCTGGGACTTAAACTCAAGTATGGGGTTGCACCACTGGCCCCAGGAGGAGGGAAAAGACAAATGAACCTCTAGCCAGTTAGCACGCTCAGACCTTACCTTGGTAAAGGTGAAATTCACAAATCCGCCTTGGAAATTCAAGAGGAGGTTGGATTTTCGGGAGCCACAGTTTCCAGAGGCTCGGGTCACATTGGGGTTGATGTTGAAGAAGTATTTTTGTGGTGTAAAAACCTATGCCAGAGAAGACAGATCAGCTTAATGAGATGTAGAAGAGAGCTCAAACATCGGAAAGTGGAGCACAGGCTAAGTGAGCCTAAGTCCAAGGCTATGCAGGGCTAGCTTGAGAACTGCTGACTTCCTGGATGATATTTCTCATGTCCAAGCTGTATATTCAAAATATCTTCTCAAGGAGTCCTCTCAGAAATTTTTTGATATGTGGTCTATTCCTGATAGGTCCCTGGATGGTGCAAATGTTTTGTACTTAACTACTAACTGAAAGGTTAGGGGTTCAAACCCACCCAGAGACACCACAAGCCATAGGTCTGGAGACCTGATTTCCATAAAGATAACTGCCAAGAACCCTCAATAGAGTTTAATTCTATTCAGTAATACATGGGATTGCCATGAGTCGACTCGACAATGCGTTTGGTTTTTGGTTTTGTTGGTCCTGATAAACTGTGTGGAATTTAAATTTTGTTCAATGAAATGTGTTGAAAGGTACTACAGGAAGGGGTTTGCAATTAATGGACTCCTGTCTCAAATGGAAACTCAGATGTGGAAGGTTTAGTTGAAATTATAAAAACTGTACCAAAAAAAAGTCCATATTATTTTTATGGTGATACGTTTAGAAAATAATATGGATCATAGTCCCACCCTCCTGACTTTTTGTTAATCTAGATTTTCCATGTTATTGTCACAGTGGCTGGAACTCTCCAGTTACTATCAAGTCAATTCTGACTCTTGTTGACACCATGAGTATCATAGTAGACCTGTGCTCCATAGAGTTTTCAATGGCTGATTTTTTGGAAATTGATTACCAGGCCTTTCTTTTGCGGCCCTTCTGGGCAGAACCAACCCTCCCACTTTTTGGTTAGCAGCCAAGCACATTACCACCCAGAACTGTGGCTGGGACTATAGAGGTCATCTAAGTTAAACTTCTGATTTCACAAGGTAGGAGCTGAGACTCTGAAATCATCAGAGGGAGAGGACTGGGCTGGGATCAACACTGAATGTTGTTCAGGTTGACTAGCAGTGAGAACAGTGCATATCTTTCCAAATATGAGGAGGCTTCAAAAAGTTTGTGGAAAATTACTTTATCTTTCTATTCCATTTTTTCCATGAACTTTTTGAAGCCTCCTCATACTTTCTATCAGTTTTAATTTTTATATGTATGAGGAGGTTTATGAAAAATAGAATTGATAATAGAAAATTTCTTTTGTCTTTTCATTCCATTTTTACACAAACTTTTTGAAGCCCCCTAAAACAGACCCACTTTTTCATTGGGCATTCTGGAGAAAGCTGAGCAGGCAGCTACTTATGTTATTTAAAGATACAGGAGGCAAGGGAACGCTCACTCTCAGCAAGGCAAACTCCACCCAACTTACCGATTCCTTGTCTTGAACAATCAGCTCTATCCCCAGCTCTGCTTTTATACAGAGTCTGCTTCCATTCAGAACTTGATAAATTCCGGTCTTGGCTGGTGAGGGCTGTGGTACAAGGGTGGGCCCAGGAACCGTGGGCGTCGGTGGTGCTGTTTGGGTGGCATTGTGTGTAGCTGTAGTTGTTCCTGGTGTCTGACTGATTGTGCTGTTGCATGGTGTGGTGGACAAAGTTGTTTGGTTACTGGATTGGGTGGTTTCTTCAGTTGATGGGCTGATTATAGTTGCAGGGGCTGGTGCAGTGACAGTAGATGGTTGTGAGTGTGTAACCGCACTGGGTCCGATGGTAACATCAGTAACTGTAGGAGTCAAGTGTAAGATGTTGGGTGTGGACTGGGTTGTGATGAGGGTGTGCAGTAATGGGCTGGTGGATGACTTGCTTTCTGTAGTTGCTGACATAGTTGTTGCTGGAGTTTTTATGATTGTATGGGTTGTTGGGGTCTCAGACTTGGAAGTCGTGACAGCTATTTGAGAGGTAGTGTGACCATCTGCAGATCTTGCTGTTAAAGTTGTGTGAGCTACTTGGCTGGTTGGTTGTGGGTGAGAAGTGCTGGCCAGTGCAGCTGTTGTGGGTTGGAGATCGTCTCTGGCTTCTGGAAATACTTTTGCTCTCATTTGACTGCCATAATGCAATATTACTGCCAATTAGGAAACAAACATGTTAAAAATTGCTTGCAAACCCTCACTTCTTTTTGGTATTTGTTTATTAAAAAACTAACAGCAGCTCTGTCTGTATGGGGAGTGGTGCTAAGGCACACCAAAGTAATCATGCTCAGTTGGATACCTCAGTGCAGTGCCACCTAATGAGCCCTCTTCAGTCCTCACCTTCAAATGTGAATCCAGTTGGCAGTCACGTGATAGAACCGGAGCAGCATGAGTTAGGCAATGTTTCATCGTTTTCATAGAACCAAACCCAAAGTTTGAAAAGGCTCTTACAGTCCAACCCCTAATCTGACCCTGACTTATACCTGTTGTTGGTAAGTGCCATCAAGTGGGTTCTGACCCACAGTGACTCTGTATAGGGTTTCTGAGGAGCGGCTGGTGAGCTTGACCTGCCAATCTTGTGTTTCAAACCAACTTTGCAGTCTAGCACATTAACCCACAGTGCCACACTAGGATTCCAATTTACACCTGATGTTGTTGTTGTTAAGTGCCATCAAGTCAACTCTGATTCATAGTGACCCTGAATAGGGTTTTCAAGGAGTGGCTGGTGAGGCTTGAATCGCTGACCTTTCAGTTCAAACTGACCTTGCAGTCCAGCACACTAACCCACAGCACCACACCAGGACTCTATACCTAAAACCTTTAGATTGTACATATGGCATCTTTAATTACCTCCAATGATGGGAGATTCATTTCCTTATAATACTGTCCCTTCCTTTTTATAAAAAAAATCTTTCCACCAGTTGTCTTGATAAATATAGACACTTTTCTGTAATTTTCTTACTTAACCTCTTGAGTTAACCTGACCTTTCTGAACTAACAAAGAACATAAAACCAGAATTGTTCTTATACTTCATTCAGATGGGCTGCTCTTTATGTTTTAGCTTAAAATAAGCTCCTCAAAGAGTCTTTCCTGTTCTCCTAATATAAACTGTGTCCCTATTTTCCCAAAATAGCCTTGATGGCACAATAGATTAAGTACTGGGATGCTGACCATGAAGCCAATGGTTCAAATCCACCAGCTACCCTGCAGGAGAAAGATGAGGCTATCCACTCCCATAACGGTTTACAGTATTTGGAACCCTGAGGAGCAGTTCTACTAGGTCCTATAGGGCCTCTATGAGTCAGAATCTACTGGACGGCTGTAGATTTTGTTTGCTAACTTTGTACTCACAGTTCTTTATCAAAGTACTATTTTCATTTTCTTCAGTGTATCTATCACAGATTATAATAATATATTTAAACATGTACTGATCAGCTTGGTCTGTGTACCAGCAAAATATCAGCCTTGCTTAGATGTTTATTTATTTGTTCATGATCCATCTCTCCCACCAGATTAAAAGCTGAAAGTGGGATCTTTTTGTTGTTGTTGTTCACTGCAGCACTTGTGCACACATAATTTTCAGTACTTAGGGTTGCTATGCATCTGAAGTGACTCGATAGGACCTAACAACAGAATGGGTTGGATGAATAAGTATCTGAATAAGTTGTTGTTGTTGTTTGTTGTCAGGTGCCATTGAGTCGGAACCGACTCATAGCGACCCCATGCACAGCAGAACGAAACAATGTTCGATCCTGGGCCAACCTCACTACCGCC